TGGTGTCTGAAAAAGTATACCAAATAAACATAAAAATTATATCGTTGGATAGAGCTCGACTGTCTGATCGCAACGGTGCAAACACATTTCAATTCACAGAAAGTTGGACCAAAAAGTGTACCCCGACTGGGACCAAAATTAGTCCCAATCAGGGACTTGCGCTTAAAAAAACCGTAGAGATCAGCCTCCTCCTCCACTCAGCCGTTCCAACAGGAGAAGGTGACAGGGCTTGCTTTATCCTTCCTTCTCCTTCTATATAAGTGAGACCATTCCTTCTCATTTCTTCACCATTTTTCTTCATTCTTCATCCTAAGTGTTCATGAAAGTGTGAGGAGTGTTGTGGTGCTGTCAATTTGGTGTGAAGTCGCCGGAGTTGGGAGAAATACTCGCCAGAAGTTTTGCCGGAAAATTTCCAAAACCTCCATTAAGCTTCGAGGTAAGCCCCTAGATATATCTAATGACTAGAATGTTCATATAGGTCGTTTCTACGTTCATAAATGGTCATTTGGTTGAGTTTTGTGTTTGACATACTTGAAGAACTAAGAATCACAAACCATGAAATTGATGTTAAAATTATGAATTAATGATGCTAAAATGATCCATGAACCTTGGAGAACATTTTTATATACTTTAATTGAAGTTTGGTGAGTAAAAGTGACATTTCCGCAAGTTGGCTTGAGGAAGAAGACGATGGATAATCGATTATCAACTTGAAAATCGATTATTCATCGTTCTGCAGATTTTTGTAACAAAGCTGAGCAACAGTCGATTATCAGAATGTGATAATCGATTGTCAGCCCTCTCTGAAGTTTGAAAATCGATTATCAGAGTGTGATAATCGATTATCAGCCCATTCTGAACATCAGACAGTAGATTATCAGAAGTGACAGTAGACTGTTTCCCTACACTATTGAAGAAAATGAAGCTAATAGTTAATAATTGAATTTCCTATCATATATTAATCAGTTATTGTTTAGAAAACATGATTTTTGAACTATGAAATCCTATTTTTGAAACCAATTAATTATGCATAATATAAATATGATTTTGTATAATAAAAATGAGGTTTTTGGCATATAAAACACTATGTGATGCATGACGGTAAGTTCGGGTGTTAACACTCGAGACTAGGCCGCTGTTTGTTATCAAATGTTATGTTGATTGATGGTTATGATGAATGATTATTATGATGATTATGACTTGATGAAACTACTGATTAAAATGATTATTGAAGATTAAATTATGAATTGAAATGAATATGTTGATGATTATGAAATGATTTGAATTCTAAGGATATCTAGAAGAACTTTAAGATATACCTAGGTTGACGTTGGTTTCTAAGACTATCTAGAAGACCTCTAAGATGACTTAGAAATGGGCCTTGCGGGTATAATTATGAATATTCAGTGTCCTGGGTTAAAACGTACGTACGGGATCCATAACCAAACTAGAGGAACTCGTTTGGGGATGCCACCCAACCCGACAGTTAGTATCCTACTGTTCGGTTTTCTGGATTTGTACCTTAAGCGAAGGCTAGTTTAAGAGTTGGTAAATCAATCGGAATATATGTACCTTAAACTAATGACCTAGCTTAAGAGTTGGTTAGAAGTACCTTAAACTCTAATAAGTTTAAGAGTTGGATAAAAGT